AGTGTTGCACTGGGAAGGGTTGGGGTTGCACTGGGAGGACTGGGGGGTCTTGGGCCACTGGGAGAACCGGGGGCACTGGGAGAACTGGGGGCACTGGGGATGCTGCGTTGGCACACCAGACCTGGGGTCTCGGGCTGCCTGCAGACCTGGGCGGACACGATGCGCCCCTGGTTGGGTCTTCAAGAGCGCTGTTACAAATGTCACTTGTCCCTTTCGTGGGGTGCCATCCTGCCCCGGGCTGCCGCAGGGATGGGGAAGCACAAAGGTGTGTAAACACACACACACACACGCACGCACACACACACACACACACACATCCCTGTGCGTGCACCTATTTTGGGGACCACTCTCCCCGCCACATGTGCCACCTCTGCCATCACACCTGCCTGTCCCCATCCTATCCCCTCCAAAAGAGCCGCTGCCCCAGGACATGGGTCAGGGTTGTCCCCGCAGGGACAGGGAGAGCCAGTGGCTGCGAGGATTCCCCCCCCCCCAGCACACCTCGGCCACCCCCAGCTCCTGGGCACAGATTTAGCCATCACCTTTGCGCTGGCCCAAGAAGGTGCCAAGCCAGGGGTTTTGGGGCTAGAAGGGGAGATTTTGAGTTGCGTGTCCCCAGCACACAGCCAGGGAGCGATGCGGTGTGGCATCACGGCATCCTCAGTCGTTCCAGGGGCTGGAGCAAAGCAGCTTTCGGCAGCTGCTCCGAGCACTGGGAAAAGGCTCCGGTGAAGACAGATGCTCGCTATAAGGAGGTGCCATTCCCGGCAGGTTTTCCTGCCTTCCTGCACCAGCTCCATCCATTTGCGAAGCCCAGGATTGTTCAGCAATGCCGCGGGGAGCAGATGGCAGGGGCAGATGGGAGGTAGAGCCACTCTCCTCCGAATTACACAAATAAACATGCATAAAGTGATTAAACCCACAGCCCCATCACTGGTCTGGGGGGAACGGGGACGGGACTGGGGTGGCTGCCGCGGAATAGGGAGCTGAGGGGGAGGACCGCTTGGGAGACCCAGAATGGGGCTAATTCACCCCAGAATCTGCTGGGCGCTGAGATCAGTGAGGCTGAGAGGCTGCAGGTGCGTGTCGAGGCAGACCTGGCACCTCCAGGCCTAGAACGCCAACCTGAGCAGGGCAGGAGATGGGCACCAGCCCTGGTAGAGCAGCCGAAATCCACGGGCATGTTTTGAAACGCCGATTGGCAGCGCTTCCCCAAACCACTGCTGGCACCGGCGAGGGGACTCAGCCCAGCCTGCGGTGCTGGCCCGTGAGGACCACAGGGACCCCCTTGCTGTGCCACAGGAATGAGTAATTATTAATAATAAAGACGATATTGATCTCTCATCGTTTTTTTTCCCCCTTTTTAACAGCCTCGTGCGGTACTGTGGTGGTACCATACGGTGCCGGTGGCTCCGCAGGGCTGGGAACCCCCCGTGAGGTGCGGGCAGGGGTCTCACGCAGGACCAGCGTTGAGCCCGAGGGGGGTTTTGGGGATGGGATTGGGCTGGAACCAAGGGAACGGGTGATGAGAGCTGCTGCGGCAGTGGTGTCTCCCCGAATCCCATGGAAGAAAGATGTTTGGAGAGGGGGTATGAGATGGGGACCTCGGGGCCGAAGGCATCCTGGGGGGCAGAGCCGGGCAGCCCCTGTGCTGGGCGATGCCCCTACATGTAGCGGTGCTGAGGCTGGGGGAAGAGTTGGGCCCCCCCAAGGTGGGGTGCCATTTCCCCTCCGATAATCTTCATATCTATTTTAATCCCTCTCTACATGAGTGGCAGAGGGCACAACTGACGCAGGCTGATTTGAAAGCATCCCATTTCCGACTCAAACCCGGCCCTAAACCCACCTAATCCCCCGCGCTGGAAGGGATTGCGGGAGGGGGAGAGAGGATAATATGGGGCACGGGGGGCACGGGCAGGGCTGGACTCTGCCATCAAACACTAAGTGATTTACAGGGTCCCCAGGGTTGGGGGGCAAATGACCCCCAGCCCATCCCCTCCGGCTCCTCATCCCTCCAACCCCACAGCCTTGTGCTTTTTCGGCATGAAGCCCCCTCCATCACCCTTCCCTCCTTGCAGCCACGGCTCATGCTCCCACCGGCTGGTTTGGGGGCTCAGCTCTGCCACAGGGAGGGGGGGCAGGACCGTCCCCTGGGGGTGCCAGGGCCCCAGAACAGGGAGCAGGACTGGCTCAGGGCTGGCTTTTGCTGGCCCCAACCTTGTGGCCAAGCCGAGCCGGTGGCAGAGATGCCGCCAAGAGGATGCTGAAATGGCTGGGGGCGCTGGCGC